GGGGGGGGGGAAAGGAAAAGCTGTGCTTCAAAGCACTTGGTATGGCCTGTTTTGCAGGGATAAGAAGAAAAGCATGGTGCAGGTATTGCCGAGGTCTCGCTCATTCATCTGAGTGCAATGCTTGGCAGCAGCGCAGACAGGATATTGCTCATCGTTTGGTTTCCCAGAGGCTTTGTTTTCTTTTTCTTTTTTTTTTACTAAAATCCGCTTTTTTCCTGTCTAGCAGTTGATTTCCAAATGGGTCGGCTCGAACTGGTGCAGGTTTTGGAGGACTGGAAGTGTCGTCTTATTTAACGGTGTTTATCCCTATCCCAAATCCCGTGGCTCCCATAGACCTTTTGCTCCCCATGCTTTGCTTTCATAAAATAGTGTGCTTCTACCTAGGAATTAAGGCTTTATTTTGCCTCTTACATCCCTAGAAAAGGGTTTGGGGCTTTTGTGACGCAACTGATAGTAGCAAAAGCTGAACTGGAGGCGGGGAAGCTGCCACTGAAGTCCTTGATGGCACGGCTGCACGAGAAAAACAATAAAATACCATGCAAAAATAATCCTTCCCAGTACAGATAAGAATTTTTTTCAAGGAAAGCAGCCTAAGACTTATTATTAAATGTGTCTGATGGAATAGGCACTTTTTTTAACACTGGATAAGAGAATTGAGCCCAAAAGGTCTAAATGTCTCTGTAAATGCTACCCTGCGGTGCCGCTGGGGCTGTTGACAAGCAGAATCAGCAGTTGCAAAGTATGAGGAAGAGCCTGGAGTGGGTTAGAGGCAGTTGCTATCTTCCACCCCTAAATTAACGCCATAGCTCCTGATTGCCAAGTGCAATTAGTTGTTCTGTTCTGCAGAGTCCCTTTCTCCTTCCAGCCCAAGCAGTCATCCAGCCAGGGCTGGGTCCTTTCACACACCTTTATTATTTATTTTTTTTTCCCCTGGTTGAGAACATAAGCTTCTACGATTCTGTTTGGAGGGAGAATTTTTTGTGGCATGTGAAAATGAGCATTCCCTTATGACTAATGTGCTCTGACTCAGTACTATTACACGGCCTCTTAATTTCATTCAAGAACTTTCCCTTGGAGGCTTTTTTTCCCTGAAAATCTGTTGACTTCTTTTTTTTTTAAAAAAAAAAAAAGGCCAGGTCAAAAACCCTGCGGGTTCAAGCACTTCTTAAAACAGCTGAGAGTTGCAGAGAAGAGGAGCTGGTTCGGGATGGGAACCACTGATGCCACCCACGCCTGTGAATTGGGGTCCTTGGGACCAGGAGAGATGCCTGCAGGTAGGAAAACCTTGGATTGAGAGAGGTTTTGCAGGAGCGGGCTGCTGGCTGCCTGACGGCGCTACCGGGATTTGAGAAGTGCTTAAACCTAGTGGGGTTTTTTTGCCTGCATTTAATATTTTTCATCTGTTTGTTCCACTGCAGTGGATAATTACTTTAGCAGGATAAATAACAGGCTCTTAAATAATTTCAGGAGGAGAGAGAAGGGAAAATTGAAGTGCTCTGAAAGGAGGAGAAGAGTTATAAAATGTTTTGCCAACTGGCAGACACACAGCTTTTAGGAAGGGCCAGGCCAGTTTGATCAGTGTTGGCAGAGCTCTGTTTCGATTGCCCTTCTAGCGTTTCTTTAGGTGTTATTTTAAGCAGCTGCAATTCCTCCTTGGTAGGGCTTTAGGCTAATTTCTGAACGCTGTAAAACGTTTCTGCTGCTGAAATATAAAGGCACTTCTCTGGGACCAGGAGGGCTGTAGGGTGCAAAATATAATATGATGCTTCAAGGGGCTTGCGTTGGCCTCCACAGCGATGGATCCAAGCAGAACAGGACTCCTGGATCCATCCTGGCGAGTTAATTGAATTGCACGTACTTTTGGACAAGACATGACTGCTTAAATCCCACTGCTGCGGCTTTTTGGGTGCTTGGAGATTAATTTTAGCCTGTGTACAAACTGAAGCCCAGCTTGGTGCAAGCAGAGAACACCTGGAGAGCCAAGATGAGTGAGAAAGCACCTTCTGCATCCCCCTAAACGCAAGTGGGACAGAAACGCCCTGTTCTGCTTGTCGGATAACTACTAAAAACTTTGGCATGGGATTTTCTGCTGTGGATCTGGTGAATAACTGGTAATGGGAGCTGGCGGGGATGCTTCAGCTCTGTCTTACTAACAGCCTGGATTTCTTTTTTCTTTCTTGATGTTGGAGCAGGGTTATAGGACAGGACTTTCGCTGCTTTGCAATCCAGGGTGGTTATTCCCAGCCCGCTGTTCCTGTGCCATAAGAGTAAAATCCGCATCTGTGGCAGGTCAAGCTTGAAGGGTTATTTTGATGGCAACTTGCCTTTGGGGAGTTGAGTTTATTGTTAGTCTTGTATTCCTTCAGAAAAATAACACAGTGTGGGTGTGAAACCTTGGAGGATGGTTGTTTCTTCTGCTCAAATGTTTAGAAAATGAGGATCTAGCAAAGTAGATGCATTTGAATATTTACAGTACTATCAAGCAGTCTGGTCAGACCAGACAAAACTTGATGCAGCTTCTCCATCCCCAGATCTGCGCAAGCATGTGCTATTTGAGGCACTGAGGGGTTTCCCCGCTCCTCCCGCCTTTTTAAAATTGGCTTTAGAGATGCTTCTCTAACCCCTAAGCTGTTTTGCACCTGCGATTAACTTTCTGTGTTGTGTTTCCAAGCCTGGTCCAGAGGATCAAAATTAGGATTTAATAATTGGGGAAAAAAAAAAAAACATGCTTGCTAGCTGGACATTCCTGCCTGCGCTTTGCATCTGACTTCCTCCAGCGGGTTTTGGACATTATTTAAAGGGTAAATAAAAGCTGTTGGGAAATACACATAATCTTTGCTTTTAAACCTTAGCAACACAACAGATGTCTTGCGTGAACCTGTCGAGCTGAGGCTTATGTTTGGCGTTGTCACCTGCAGGTGTCCCATTGTACCTGATCGGGATGCAGATGCACTTCTGTTTGGTTTTCTAGAATGCTTTTAAGGGTGTGAAATGCTTTCTGCTCCGCCTGGGGAGATGAGCTGCTCTGTTCTCCCAAGCCGTGCGACAGGGACCGACCCTCCTTCCCCCAACCTCCCCAGCTCGAGCAAAACCACATCCCGAGGTTGGAGTACTGGCAGCCTTTGGCTTTCTGCCATGCTGTGTCAAGATGGAAATCAGCATATACGCTTCACAACGATAGATGCTTTTGCTTGGGAAGGACCCAACTCTCTGTTTTTTTAATAATTTTTTTTTAGTGTAGCTCTGTTGTTTTTTTTTTTCTTAACACACAAATTCCCAAAGACTATCTGCTGCATAATGCAGTTTTCTGGCAGCAGTGCTTGTGTCAAAGCGTTTGGGTTTCAGTCTTTCTCTGTCATAACATTGACTCTAAGAAGGATTTCTGACACGGGGAAAACATGCGGAGCATCTGCTAAGATGAGAACTGTAAGTTTAGTTTTGACGTGGTTTCTGCTGCAGATTGACAGCCCCTAGGATTTTCTGAAGCTGCTTTGTCGGGGAACCTGACAAAACTGGAGAATAATGCTGTCGAACGTCATTTCTCTGAGGATGAATTAGTTGTCATGGCAAGCTTTTCTGCTCCGTGTCTCCACTGTCTGCTATTCCCATGGCTCTTTGGCTTGCTCTATGCTGGGATGGGAAAACCCTGGGTTTAGCTGGGGAAGACAGTTTACATTGCTGGAAGCTTGTAACAGCTTAGTTTATTCCTGATAGGTAACTTCCAGACGTGTTTTCTGCAATACTGAGAGTTTGGTTAAAAATAAAATACTATAGTTTATGGCCAGCGTGGTGCAAGTTACTTGTATTTAAATATGTTGGGCAAAAAGCCGTGTCTTGTCTTCCCTCTTGAGGAGCAGGTTTGCTTCCTGGGCTTGCTACAGGTGGGATTTGTCCCATGGACTGTGATCTGCATCCCATCATCCTGGTTGCGCTGGGATCTGGGGATGGCTGGGCAGCCTCTGGAGTCAGGAGAAACTCACACCAAGCAACATATATGCTGAGAGCTTGCCCTGTTTTGGGTCCTCCGCTACAAGCTGCTGTGCTAGGAAAAGATAAACTGGGAATTTGTGATTGCATTTTCTGGAAAAGCAAGTCCCTGTGTTGTCCTCATGAGCTGTTATTTTGGTTTGAGCTATCGGTGCACGTGCAGTCATGGAGCAGTTGTATCCCTTGGTCTTCACTCAGCGGTGTCGGAAGGGAAAACTGTCGCTGCTCTCCCCAAACCAGGTCGGCTGCTTCCTAGGAAATAGGGTCCAGGGATTTGCTTTGCAGCAGCGGGCATGGCTTTTACTGCACACCCTGCCAACTGGCCGAACTGGACACAGCCACTCATTAAGATGGATTTATTTCCTGGTGTGTTTCTGTCATCAGTGCATTACCTTATACTTAAGATGTTCCAAATAGCTGGAGATACAATATTTGATAGTCCAGCCTTTCATCAGCAGTAAATCCTGTGTGGGTTTTTCTTCCCTCACCTGTCTGTAAGCAACTGCATGCAAGTACTTAAAAATAAATAAATAGGTTTTTTTAAAAAAGTAAAAAGAAAAAGGGGGGTGTTAAGGGAGAATGGGACAGGAATTTTTTTTAACACACACCCACACCA